AATGGGCAATCTGGTGATTGAATATTTATGGTTGTGGGGTATCCAATCGATTTTTGTTATTTAATTATGATTCATTCGTTGGAGGCTGGTGAGAATTCAGTGTCGTAAATGCAATTGTTTGATATCGCCAGGGATTAATTTTCGTGGTGGACAGCAATGACAGAGAACGTATTGGAGAGGCACGTGAGGAGTTGATGCGAATGCTGGCTGAGGATGAACTCAGAGATGCTGTACTCCTAATATTCGCTAACAAACAGGTGAATAAAAAAATTAATAACAATCCAATTACTGAAGCGATTGATCCAGGGGAGAATAAATTTTTTTTATGAGTTCATTCGTGTTCGTTTTAATGCGAATAGTATTTCCTAGGGTTTGAAATCGCTGTGAAACATGTGCCAATGATAAACCGATATTTATTATTATTCCAGGATCTGCCAAATGCAATGAACGCAGCAGAGATAACTGATAAATTGGGACTGCACTCGTTACGCAATCGTAATTGGTATATCCAAGCAACGTGTGCCACAAGTGGAGATGGCCTATACGAGGGTCTCGATTGGCTCTCAAATCAGCTTAAGAATGCAAACCGCTAATCCCCACTACGATTAATTAATTGATTCCTACATTTTAAATCGAGATGAGAAAAAAAAATACGTGAAAAAAAGCAAAAAAAAGAAATAAATAATAACACATTATCACGATCATTAAGAAAAATGACAAGAAATCGATGAACTACAGGAAACCTACGTGAATGGCTCACATCCATGGCCCCCCCTCTCTGATGAAGAAAAACGTCGAAGCAATAATTTAGAACAATAATAATCTGAACAACAAAAACAGGAAAAGTCTGCCATCGAGACAAATCTCCTGGGCCAATTTTTTTTTCAATGCATTAATCGTTTCGTATCTCGGGGAGTTGTAGTTTTAGGGCAGAATTTTATGGGACTTTTTTGTTGGCGAGGAAATTTTCGATGAAAAAGATATCTTGTGATTTTTCCCTTGGGCCAATCTTGGGTGAGATAATTTCATCGAAAAATGGATGAACGTTTTTCTTGAGATAAATTTAGAAGAGACTTTTTTTTTCATCAAGATTATTTTTGAGAGTGGGGGGAGGGGAGGTCAAGTGACACCTGGGGAACCTGGGGAAATTAGGGAAAGTAATGTGAGAAAAATTCCAGATGATAGCGTAAAATTTTGGGTTTGATAAATAAAAAAAAATGGAGAATTATTGGGAAATCTTGAGATCACTGAGCGGCACTTGTGGTTGATGTGGCTGACTCTTAGGATCCGCAATGATTATTTTATAATTTTGTTCTTATTTCTCTGCAGTAATTTAACGAAAGAAAACTGAAAACAAATTACAAAAAAAAAGAGCATTGTCCATTAAATCTTATAATTATTAATTATTATTAATTATTGTATTATTATTAGCATTATAGTTACAACTTTTTACACATGAATTTAATGATTATGCCACTTGGAGTGGATGAGAATAACTGAGTTATACACTAGCCTATTTGTCCATCTGTGAATCGCATGTGACGTTAACAATCCTATCAATATTATCTCTATCAAATAACTTGAACTCCTGTCATTGGTGTCTCAGGCCATGACTCTGGACATATTCTGCCTTTGAATTCCGTTCGAGTACTGATTCCTCGATTTTCATCGCCGTTCTGTCATCACAGAATTATTACCGATCATTTTTAATTTTCAAGATTTTCACCAATTCCGGAAAAATCCCCGAAGAAATGAGAAGTCATCGGTAATAATTCCTTGATTTCACCTCCAGATCCTCTCGCGACCCTCCAAAAGAAACGATTTCTTTCACTTCAATGTCATAAACTCATCTAAACCTTTTATCAATTTCTGAGTCCCTCCAATGGTCTCGGCGATTACTCCAGAATTCCGTGGACTCTTTTTACTGGTGGATGATAATAATAATTGATTGTCTGGAGGTAATGATTTTTTGTTGTGATTTAAAACAATTTCTTCTTTTGATATTTCGTGACATAAATTC